ACGGTATGATAAGGCCATTTTTTCAGTCCCTTGAATTTGAACATAAAAAAGCATCATATACAATTTTTAACCGGATTATATAAAAAAAAAAATGGGTTATTAATTTGGTGATGTACGGCGGGCGGGCAGGCGGTCGGCTGCCAAACAGTGTCCGTGCATTTACTCATGAATGGTTCAACCAATTTTCAAATTTTAATATGTTGTTACTGATGACAAAATGGAGGTCAAATTCGGTCTCACTAATTAGCGACAACAAGAATTTTAGCGACAAGAAGCGTCAACAAGCGACAACAAGAATTATTTTAGCGACAAGAAGCGACAAGAAACTATTTAGCGACAAGAAAACATATTTTTTTTAATTAAAATTAATTATTGCAATAAATGTTAAAAGAATATGCAAAAGAAAATAATTTTAGCGACAAGAAAGTTAAAATTGATAGAAAAAAATGAAACATTATTTATATAATATTTTATCATCTATTATGTATAACAGCCAGTATTACGTTTAATTATTGTATTATGAGATTACTTTTCCTTGTGTTTTAGAACATATTATTTATCTTATAATTTGTTTTTTAAAACTCTTTTCGTGCAATATATATTAAGCTCGCAAAATGAATTATTTGTGCATCATTGTCCTGAAAATATTGACACAAATTGTGAAATACAAAGAACTGAAATCACACAAGAGGAAAAGAAAATTGAAATGTGAATGTTTTCATCTTTTTATTTGTTTATTGCCTCATTAAACGATATTTATCATGTTTATGCATATTGATTGAAGATGAAAGGAAATTAATGACAATCTTGAGTTTTCAACAGGTGTTCACTATTTACAATGATTGTATATTCTGGCGCGTGTAATTGTATAGTCTGACGCGTGTACAAAGTTGAAGGTTTTAATTGGATGTTATTGTAGCAATAAAACTGGGGACACGCGCCTCGTTAATCTCATTTGATGTTCCACATTGTGTGCGGTGCGTCTAAACACTGCTAAAAAGTCCTTAGTGCACTAAGGACTTATAATATGCAACTAAGGACTAGATTGGGTGCTGTAACATGTAATTTTTTTCATATTATGGTAGATATTGATATTTACTGCATAAATTTCAAATTTTATAGAAAAATAATCACAAATAAATTAGTAATTAAGCTTTGTTTAGGCACGTGCCTGTTTTTCTTTGATATGCCGAAAATCAGTGAACCGATTGCCACGTGCCATATAATATAACAACTGAATAAACAATCATAATCTTTTTATTTTAAGTACTTAACAATTGTTTCGAAAAGATTAATGCTTAATATTTTATAATTAAATGTGTTGTTTTTATTTACAATGATTAAAAGGACAAATAATTTTGCTTTTGTTTTATTTCTTTTCCGACAAAGTTATTTGCAATAGGTGAACGACTCTGATGTGCGCTAACTAATATTAAGTTAGAGTGTGGTCAGCTTGTTAAAAGGTTTATGTAGGAGATACCAAGACAAAAGGAATAGATATATGTAAAAGTTTTTTAAAGAATTAAGATGCGTGTATATACAAATGGTTTCACTAAAAAAATATGAGTAAATTCTGAAAAACTATAAAACATGATGTTTGCTTCCACTTTAGATTACTCTTTACGAATTTCGATTGAATAGGGAAAAAATCATGTGGCGTCCTTGTGGTTTATCAAAACAACTAGTTTTCAACCAGTTTGATAGACAATATGAATAACATAGATATAGGAAGGTGTGGTATGAGTGCCAATGAGACAACTCTCAATCCAAGTAACAATTCGTAAAATGAAACCAATATAGGTATAGGTACGGCCTTCAACATGGAGCCTTGGCTCACACAGAACAGCAAGCTATAAAGGGCCCCAAACATTACTAGTGTAAAATTATTCAAACGGGAAAACCAACGGTCTAATCTATATATAGCTGTTTACAAAGGTTTCATACGGTACTTTTTTTTGTCATTGTTCGACATTTGTTTTATCTTAAAGTAAACGAATTTAAATAAAGCATATATCGAACTCAAGTCAAATGATGTTTCATTTTCAAATATATAAAGGAGACAAATGTTTTTTAAAATGTTCCACAGTTTTTAGCACATTATTTACGAAAAATATCCCGTATGTGTTAATTTAGAGCTAAAGATATAATTTTGTCAAAAAAAAGATTATGCTTTGTACGAATTGCTTAGAAAATATGCTTTTACCATATGATACGAAAATAACGATTTTTGGAATACAGGATAATGTGAATACTTTATCTAAATCTATCCCATGTAAAATATGAAAAAAAAAAGATTTTTTTTTTTTTTTTAAGAACAAGTATGTGTATTTTATTGACCAAATTCTCTGTTTAAGATATTGTACGAAATATTTTATGAAATAATGACTATGTGGTATGTGCTTTGCTCATTGTTTGAAGGCCGTTCGGTGACTTATAATTAATAAATTTCTGTGGCATTTTGTGTCTCTTGTGAAGAGTTGTCTCATCGCCAATCATACCACATCTTCCGCCCAAACGGTTCATGTATTATATAAGTTTGGTTGCATGAAGTAAAAATTTCTTTTCATATAGAATTCGTTTTTGTCCTGAAAGATATTGCTCAAACCAAGGATTTTTATACAAATCCTTGCTCAAACGTGTTATTTATATAATAATAAATTTTGAAAATGAACCATAGCAAACGCAAAAGAAATAAACACTGTGCAAACAGTTCATGTTTTAAATACGTCTGTTTACATGATTATTATTTATTAAATAAGTTTTCAAGAAATATACAAATCCTTGATTCTGAAAAAAAAAATTAATAAAATTTAAACAACTTATTCAGTGCGAAATTAAATCAAAATTGATCATTGAAATAATCTGAAACTGAAAAATAATTCATTTATTCGTATCTAACTTTTGGCAATTTTTTAGTGATAAAACTGTAAAATACTTGTTCCAAATTAAGATAACAGTGTAATCAGTTATGTAATTTGACACGTGTCTAACGGTTCATTGATTTTCGGCAATATCAAAGAAAAAACGGCACGTGTCTAAACAATGTTAAATTACTGATTTATTTGTGATTATTTTTCTACAAAATTTGAAATTTATGCATTAAATATCGATCTATACCATAATATGAAAACAAATTACATGTAACAGCACCCCATCTAGTCCTTAGTGGCATATTATAAGTCCTTAGTGCACTAAGGACTCCTTAGCAGTGTTTAGACGCACCCGCATTGTGTGTACTGTTATTACCTTAGGGTGAAGCCACATCTAATGTTGTTCCTATCAAGAACAATGAATTATACTGTTAGAAAGGAAATTATATTTCATGTTTTTGTTTCAATAAATCCTTCAAAGGAAAGTTGACCTTTTTTTGTTTTTGTTTCAGTTTTATAGAGTGTGCATTTCCTTTGCTCTACCAAGCTGACTGAAGCCATTCAACTTTCATGTTTAGTATAAAGTAAATTGTCAGCATTTCAGTATTATTCTCGCAAAAGTACGTGCTCTGTGCAATTGCTAGAATCTAAAACGCAACTCGGTTTACCTTTGATTAATAAATCAGTTACTTTGTACGTCTTTGATACTGCGCGGTATCAAACGAACCCTTTGGTACAGGGTTTCAATTTCCTTTTGGGCAAGGGAAAAAAAGGTTACGACTCGAACTTCGATAAATGCATATTAGAAGTATTATAATTAAACTATAGTGGACACGTCCGTTCATGATATCCCTTGGGCAAGGGTAAATATTGAAACGCACTTATTTTGTCACATCGCCGTGTCAAACTGAATCCCTTGGGATAAGGGTTTTCCTCTTGGGCAAAGGAAATAGTAAGGGAAGTTATACCCTGCAATATTAGTCTTACACTCTAAAAATGGCACACCCATGTGGTAACTGTTCAAAAAACTGCACTCGAATGTGTGTGTTTTGTGAAAAATGTGAAACATGGTTTCACCAAAAATGCCAGAAATTAACAAAAGATCAGTTTCGGATCTTAAGTCAGACTATGGCAGATTAAATCGGAGAAAGAAAAGGCTTTTGCATTGCAAAAATTCTTGACTCATGGGAGAAAGTTAAACGCAATCCCAGAGTCCACCACTTCAACAGATGGTGGGCTTACAATCCCCAAAACAAGTGCATGTGCACGTAAACCTTGCCAACGGAAACGTATTAAAAATGCTAAAACTACAACTTCAAAAAGGGCAAAAATACAGTGAATCTTAGTGGTAAAAATCTACGGCTTATCAAAATGGGACCACCATGTACAAAATGTATAAATATTATGTTAGATAGGAATGTACATATTACTATATAATGACTAAAAATAATTAAAAAAAAAAAAAAAAAAAAATATATGGACCCCAAGGTAGAACCACGTCCTCGTCGTGGGGTCTGGAAACACGCTTAAATAATAAAGATGGCAAAGCGTGGCTGAGAGTTCTACAAATAAAGCATCGAATTGACATAACAAGAGTACACTTAGAGCATAATATTAAGCAAATGAATCAAAATATTATATTCCATTATGCCCGCTCCATATATATCTCCATTCGTTTATTCATACTTTGACTTTGATGAAAACAGATACATACATTATCTTATACATATTCTTCATATTTAAAAATTAAAAAAAGAAGCTCAATCTCTTTCTTCTTCACAAATGTTTAATTTCTTCATCTACCAATATACTAATATAAACTTCACAATCTCTTTCTTCCTCACAAATGTTTCATTTCTTCGTCTATCTATATAATAACACATTTTAATTAGACATATCTGCTCGTATATTTAAAAAAAAAACATTAAATACAAATTTCTTTATATCTAATAAAAAAAAAATGTTTTCTTGTCGTTAAATAGTCTTCTTGTCGCTTCTTGTCGCTAAAATAATTCTTGTTGTTGCTTCTTGTCGCTTGTTGACGCTTGTTGTCGCTTCTTGACGCTTGTTGTCGCTAATTAGTGAGACCCGTGTGTGCTCCAACGTTGGAGGCATTTACGTGAAGAAGAAGAAACAGTAACGTCACTCCCGGAAGTCTATTTCATGTTTATGTTTTATGGTCTACAAGAAAATCTAACAATAATTGATAATTTTACAGATTCTATAAACAATGGGTGCTTTAACAAGCCGACAGGCCAACGGAAACGAAGATATAGACACTGCTTGTAATAACGTGTATAGATACCCACCGAAATCAGGTAACAAAAAACACCACGTTAAGGTTCATAACAAACGGACAAATATGGCTGTATTTTGCACTCAAAAACTACTTGAGTACAGACTTACCTGTCTAGTTGGAAAAGTTTTAAGGCCTGGCATCCACTAGATATATAAAAGTTAAATGCATTTTGTGTTTCAGAAACATATAATCTTTTTTGGTTTTTGATGGGCATTTTTTTTCCTTTCTGCAGAAGGTGTAAAAATAAACAAACACCTGAATTACTTTGATACTGTCCACTCAGTTAAACCCTTTAACTCACCTATAGTTGTGTAGATACCTGTTGACCATGTCAATCAAGGACAATCAATACAGTTTTTACCTGAGAGGGAGCATCTCAAAGTTGTATCACAACTTAGTTAATTTTTACACCTTCTGCATGAAGGAAAAAAAATGCCCATCAAAATCCAAAAGAGATTTTATCTTTCTGAAACGCAAAATGCATTTGACTTTTATATATCTAGTGGATGCCAGACATTAAAACTTTTCGAACTGGACAGGTAAGTCTGTACTAAGAGTAGTTTTTGGCATGTAAAATACAGCCATATTTGTCCGTTTGTTATGATGAACCTTAAGTAACATCTGAGCTAGGTCAGGAATAACCATTGTTATTGATAATTTAATTGGTGCAATTCACGTATAGAATCCACCATTTGACAGATTAGAGAGTCAAGAAATTAAAGGTAGAGCGTGATAACATCATTTTGATTACTTGAACTCTTCAGTTGAATCTCGTATGAAAAAGCCTAAGGGACAGCTGGGCCTTATGGCTGAATAGACGTATTTACACTTGTATGCAAATTTGTCCGCCATTACGTAAAATCACACAGGTTCCCGTAAACTTTGACATCATAATTCAAAACATTTGATGTCACAATTAAAAAGTGATTGTTGCCTGACGTCAAAAGGTGATTCGGAGTAGATCTAAGGTCATTCGGAGGCAAAATATAGCTAAATACCAAAAGTGTAAATACGTTTATTGACTGTGTTTACACCACAAAATTTACTCCGAGTATAAATTTTGTCAAAAAAATCAAGCTTACATCGATCGGTGTAAGTTTTGGGGAAAATAATTGCTTTATGTTTTCTATACACGACAAAATCATAAAAAAACTGTCAATTTGCACGGTAAGTAAGCTTGATTTTAATTTTTACTTCTTTTGTTGCTCTTACATGTACTTGATGGAGTACCAGGATGTCCTACCACAGAGTAGGTAACCTGTTAAAAAATTGTATACTTTTGAAATATGAATGATAACAACAATAATAATGTCTCTAGTATTAGAATTTGCTATATGTTAATCATTATGTGGTATCCTGTGGTGTTCTGTGGTAAAAAGATTTACCTGGTGTAATCAACTCTTTACAGTTTTCAACCTAGTTCCTTGAAACTGACTGAAAGATTGCACATACATGTGCTTAAAAGTTGTTCACCTGCATTTACAATGTATATTTAAGTCTGTTGGAGGACTTTTTCCAAGACTTGGAAACTTTATATCTTTCAAAAAAAATTGACAAAAAAACGGTACATGTACCAATTTTATGAAATCAACTCTTCTGTTTATTTTCAACCGAATTCCTTGAAACATTTCATAACAAATGTACATCAATTGAAGTTGTGTTCCTCCCATTATGGGGTTGTTTTATTATTGAAGTTGGTTTTACTATTGAAGTTGTGTTCCTCCCATTATGGGGTTGTTTTACTATTGAAGATGTGTTCCTCTCATTATGTGGTTTTAATTGAAGTTTTGTTCCTACCATTATGGGGTTGTTTTACTATTGAAGGTGTGTTCCTCCCATTATTGGGTTGTTTTACTATTGAAGTTGTTTTCTTCCCATTATGTGGTTGTTTTACTATTGAAGTTGTGTTTTCCTCCCTCTATAGGGTTGTTTTACTATTGAAGTTGTGTTCCTCCCATTATAATTTATAGGGTTGTTTTACTATTGAAGTTGTGTTCTTCCCATTATTGGGTTGTTTAATATTGAAGTTGTTTTCCTCCCATTATGTGGTTGTTTTGGGTTGTTTTACTATTTAAGTTGTGTTCCTCCCATTATTGGGTTGTTTTACTATTGAAGTTGTTTTCTTCCCATTATGTGGTTGTTTTACTATTGAAGTTGTGTTCCTCCCTTTATATTGTTGTTTTACTATTGAAGTTGTGTTCCTCCCATTATAGGGTTGTTTTACTATTGAAGTTGTGTTCTTCCCATTATTGGGTTGTTTTACTATTGAAGTTGTTTTCCTCCCATTATGTGGTTGTTTTGGGTTGTTTTACTATTTAAGTTGTGTTCTTCCCATTATAGGGTTGTTTTACTATTGAAGTTGTGTTCCTCCCTTTATATTGTTGTTTTACTATTTAAGTTGTGTTCCTCCCATTATATTGTTGTTTTACTATTGAAGTTGTGTTCCTCCCATTATTGGGTTGTTTTACTATTTAAGTTGTTTTCCTCCCATTATAGGGTTGTTTTACTATTGAAGTTGTGTTCTTCCCATTATATTGTTGTTCTACTATTGAAGTTGTGTTCCCCCAATTATTGGGTTGTTTTACTATTTAAGTTGTTTTCCTCCCATTATAGGGTTGTTTTACTATTGAAGTTGTGTTCTTCCCATTATTGGGTTGTTTTACTATTGAAGTTGTGCTCTTCCCATTATAGGGTTGTTTTACTATTGAAGTTGTGTTCCTCCCATTATAGGGTTGTTTTACTCTTGAAGTTGTGTTCGTCCCATTATGTGGTTGTTTTGATTGAAGTTGTGTTACTCCCTTTATAGGGTTGTTATACTATAGAAGTTGTGTTCCTCCCATTATAGGGTTGTTTTACTCTTGAAGTTGTGTTAGTCCCATTATAGGGTTGTTTTATTATTGAAGTTGTGTTCCTCCCATTATGGGGTTGTTTTACTATTGAAGTTGTGTTCCTCGCATTATGGGGTTGTTTTACTATTGAAGTTACGTTCCTCCCATTATGGGGTTGTTTTAAATGACATTTTTAACTTTCATGTATTTTATTCCCTCAGTGTATATATTCTGAATCTAAAAAATTAATATGATCTGTTTAAAAACTGTCATTTACAAAATGTAATTCTGCCGTGTTTTTTGAATAAAATTCCTTAAATTTTATTGAGTACATGTACAAGTTTAAGCTGTTTCTTTATTATCTTTCAGGCAACTATTTTGGAAGTCATTTTATCATGGGAGGAGAAAGATTTGATATGAGTCAGCCAGAGGCTTATCTGTTTGGAGAAAATCAGGATCTCAATTTTCTTGGATCGAAGCCTGTTGCTGTAAGTTGCTTGAATTTGTATGAAAATAATAAATTTACCTTGTCATCATTTTTATGACATAAACAGTACCAATTTAACTGCACTCGATATCATCATTTTTATGAGATAAACAGTACCAATTTTACAGCACCGCACCTGATGATTTTTTCGACAATTAATGTCTCCAGTGAAGTTAAAATTACAAATGTATTTGAAAGTCCAAAACCTAATACAAAGTGAAACATTGAAGAGTTCCAAAAAGTACCAAAAGTAAATCCAAACCAGACAAGGATTCAGAGCTATATGTATGAGGGAGATGCAGTTCTTAATTCAAAATGTTTTTTAAATTATGTAACAGCAAATTTAAATCAAACAATACATATGCATGTTTCCCTATTTTCATGATAGTCCAGAAGTACTGGCTACTGGGCTGGTGATCATGATACCCTCCTGGACTTACATTTGTACAGTCCACCAGCAGAGATATTGACCAGTGGTAGTATTAACATTAAAGGTACCAATTTTACTGCACCAGATGCCAATTTTGACAATTATTGTCTCAAGTGATGCTCAAGGCTAAAATATTTGTCCAAAACCTGATACAATTGTTGAGTAGCTGATAAAACCAAAAGGGACCAAAAGTAAATCTAAACCCAGACAAGGTCTTAGGATGTAGAGCTATGCAAGAAGGAGATATAGTTATGTGATGTAGATACAATGATTCATTGATTTTAGTTGAGCCTGCAATAAAAGTCCTTGAGGTAAAATGTATTTATCTTACATTCCGTCTGTGTCCATGTTGTCAACATCTAGATAGTCTGTGATAAAAGTTTTTTTATACTGTTTTTTTTTTTTAAATTTACAGTCTATATATAGATATTGATCTTGACTTAAACCATGCTTAATCAAAAGTGTATTCCCTTCATGAAAATGGTCAATTGTGCTAACTAAAAATATTCATAACATGTGTTAGGGTAGGCATGAGAGTTGTAGGGTACATGTAGGTAGGGAATCAGGGACTCAATAATATTTGTTTGGCCTTATTAGCTCAACATTATTTACAATCACAGTGATTCAGTTAGAAATTACTCTGGCAAGTGTTTGCATGTAGGGAATCTCTTTGGAACATGGTGATTACTTGTTATCTAGTCTAATACTTTGATTTTGCAGTCCATTTGTGTACATTTTGGTTGACTGTTAAAGTAATTTAATACTTCATATCTTCATATTAAAAAATAAATTGGTTTCTGTTCTCTAACTTAAGTTTGCCTCAACCAAATATTATGAAACTTATACACAATGGTTATTACCACAAAACACAGATCAAATTTGAATTTAGGTGGCGTCACTTATACCGTTCTAGAGTTATGCTACTTTACAAATGGAAAAATTGCTGAATTTTCGTTTCTGTTCTCTAACTTTAGTTTGCCTCAACTAAATAATATGAAACTTATACACAATTCTTATTACCACAAAACACAGATCAAGTTTGAATTTTTGTGGCGTCACTTTTACCGTTCTAGAGATATAACCCTTTACAAATGGAAAATTGCTGAATTTTTCGTTTCCGTTCTCCAACTTTAGTTTGCCTCAACCAAATGTTATGAATCTTATACACTATGCTTATTGCTACAAAACACAGATCAAGTTTGAATTTTGGTGGCGTCACTTTTACCGTTCTAGAGTTATGCCCCTTTACAAATGGAAAAATTGCTGAATTTTTCGTTTCCGTTCTCTAAACTGATCAGATACAAATTTGAGTAGCGTCACTTTTACAGTTCTTGAGTTATGTCCCTTTATAACGTTTTCTGCAAGTGGGGGCATCATCTGTGTCCCATGGACACATTCCCCATTTATAATTACATATTTGAATTGAATAAATGAAAATAGCTTGTATGCAAATTTTCGTCAAAAAATCACAGTCGGATCAAAACTGTATTGTATTAAGGCCTTAACATTAAGGAAACTCATTTCATAGGACAGGGTGAATTAAGTTATATTTTCAGTAGATTAATAGGACCAATGTTTAACTGAATCATATCTTGAGTTCTGTGTTTCGATTACAATTTGATTTGTATATGACAAATTTTATTTTATTTTCAGTATCCTTATCCTTCATCATCAGGTAATGAACCTACCAAAACACTTAAAAGTCTGATCAACATCAGAAAGGATTCACTTCGATTTGTCAAGTAAGTCCATATATATACATATATACTTGTAGTTTCCCCGAGAAAATATATAAACATATATACTTGTAGTTCCGCAGAGAAAACAAACTGTTAAATATAAGAAAGATTTTTCTTTGTCTTCTCAAATCACCATTTATCTAAAACATCAGTTTACATGAGAAATTATTTCTTGGAAACACAACATCACTACACCACCTCTTTTTTAAGTTTGGTGAATTTTTTTTATTTGCACACTACATGTATTGACACAATGTACCTTTTTGTTCATTTCATTTTTTGTTTATTTCTTGAGACATTTTTTGATAGTACAGGTCAATGTTTTTCATACATCATGTACATATAAAGCTCTGTAGTTTGTAGATACACATATGAATAAAAGTAGATTTTTGTGTAAATGTTAAAACCAGGAACTAAAAACTCTGTAAAATAAAAAAGAAATCTACCCCTTTTAGATTTATTCCTATCTACGTGTCTCACAAATACATACTTATCAGTCGTCCCACTGTCTGTATCACTCTGCTCAGCTCAATTAAATTGCTTATCAGGGCTTTGTGAGGTCAAATACGTTAACCCTGCCTTAATAACTTTGGCCTGTACATATCACCGACGTCATAATGAATGAACCGATGTTGATAAGTTTGACCCGAACTTATCAAATCATCTTCTGGTTTGCTGGTGAAACAAAGAAAACCCTTGTTTCTATCATGAAAATACGCAAATACAACCCGATAAATCGATTATCTGGTGGTTTGCATAATGATATTGTAAAATATGAAAATGCAGACAACCTGATAATCGGTACGTATCCATACCTTATCATGACATGCTTGACCTGAATCTAGAAAAAGTTGAACTCAAAGAGACTGAAAGATTAGCCATCTTATGAAATACTTGTAGACAATAAATTAAGAAACCCTTGCCATTCACTTACTTGTGCCATTAATATGTGGAAGGGTTCAACTAACTGTATGAGTACTCAAATCAGTGGCATAGAATAAAAGTTAAGGAGAAAACTAACACAACAAAAATCAAAAATACAAAAACAAAGTAATATTTATTCCAGTCAGTAAAATAGAAATAGAAAAATTGATTGAGATAGTATTGCTTTTCAGGAGAATTTTAGAAAATAAGTTATCAACTTTGCCAATTTAAAAAAAATATTGTAAGGAAAACTATTAGTCCATACCAACTAAAGTGTTCCCTTTCTAGACTGTTACCCTTTGTAAAGACTAAAGAGGTTCATGGAAATAGCATAATCAGGAAACATAACACATGTGATTTATATCAGTTTATATAGGTATGCATTTAAACATTTCATGTTTCATTTTTGTTTCCTTAAAAAGGTTGAGTGGAGAGATATTTATAATATTTAATGTTATATTAATACATTGATAGTTTACTTTATAGCAACTCGATTTATTTTCTTGTTCTTTCTACGTTAGACAGGTTTCGGATATTTTTTGCAAGAATTTAATGGATTAATATGAGTTTCAAATTTCTGTCCAACCAATTTTTATGTATTTTGAGCTTCAAATTGTTTTTCAATGTATTTTCATCGTATTATTAATATACTTCCACTCAAAGTGGGGGGGGGTGGGGGGGTATTGCATTCCTCATGTCTGTCTGTCCATTTGTGTTAAATTTTTCTCAGAAATTAGTGATTTGACAGCTTTATTTCATTGGAATGACAAAATATAAGTTTTTATACGCCCGTCAATTTTTGACGGGACGTATTATGGTATACAAATGTCCGGTGTCCGTCCGTCTGTCTGTCTGTCCGGCGTAAACATGTCACACTGTAACTTGAGAATGACTTATCCAAATTTCATGAAACTTAACATAGTTGTTTCTTATGATGGTCAAACGATCTGTATACTTTTTGGTGAAAATAAGATTAAAACTTTTTGAGTTACGGGACTTAGCAACTAAAACAGGTGTGTGTTTTTTTTTTCACATGTCGCGCCGTATCTCAAAAACAATTTATGATTATTGCTTAAAACTTTACACACTTCTTAGTTATATTAATCTTAAGATCTGTATACTTTTTGGTGATGATTCAAAATTTTATTTTAGAGATATTGAGTATTTTGTTAAAAAAGGGGGAGGGGTTTTTCACATGTCGCGCTGTATCTCAAAAACAGTTTATGATTATTGCTTAAAACTTTACACACTTCTTAGTTATATTAACTTTAAGATCTGTATACTTTTTGGTGCTGATTCAAAATTTTATTTTTGAGTTATTGAGTATTTTGTAAAAAAAAGGGGGAGGGGTTTTTCACATGTCGCGCCGTATCCCAAAAAGGATTTATGATTATTGCTTAAAATTTTACACACTTCTTAGTTATATTAATCTAAAGATCTGTATACTTTTTGGTTTCGATTCAAAATTTTATTTTTGAGATATTGATTTTTTTTTTTTTAAAAGGGGGGTTTTCACATGTCGCGCCGTATCTCAAAAACGATTTATGATTATTGCTTAAAATTTTACACACTTCTTAGTTATATTAATCTAAAGATCTGTATACTTTTTGGTTTTGATTCAAAATTTTATTTTAGAGATATTGAGTTTTTCGTAAAAAAAAAAGGGGGTTTTCGCATGTCACGCCGTATGTCAGAAACTATTTATGCTTATTGCATAAAAATTCACACACAAGACGACGGGCGTATCATGCGCTCATGGCGCAGCTGTTTATTTCAAACTATTTAATACATTGTAGTAAATTTAGATCAAATTGTTGAACTTCCTGTTAAAGAAAAATGTAAATTTTGGCAGTTTTTCAAAAGTTAAATTTTGCATGTGACCCAGGACTTACCAATTCATCGGAGATTTATGATATCAATATCTCTGCTGTTAAAACTTCCTGTTTTATAGAGTAGCATTGCCATGGTTACAGAGCAGCCTTTATTAATGAATCCACAATATCTTTTGCATGTGTAAAAATTTAATTAGTACATGTTAATTTGATGTTTAAGGGTTGATGAAGCTGAAGTAGAGGATGATCAGAAGACCACAAACAAATATAATGTAGAATTTGTCTTTGATTCTGATGTCAAATGTGCAATTACTATCTATTACTTTGCAACAGAGGAGTTTAACAATGGACAACTTGTGTAAGTTATCAAATCTGTACAACATTAAAACTATTTTTCTGAATCACGATTGATTTATTGTTGTTTACTTAAAAATCAAGTGACATATATGTCATTCATATTCAGACATCCATATGAAAAATAGGATAGGAAGATAGGAACTGAAAATATGCCCTGCATTAGGTCACCTGATGTAATATTCTGATTATTCCTATCAGATTTGAAAACAATTCTTAGTGAATATACTAGAAGTATTTGCAGCTGTCTAACTACCAACAATCAATCGATCATACACAATATTTTTTACTAGCAAGATGCTCTTTTCTTGATATGGACAGGCTTGAGAAGTGAAATTGATACTGTAGGAATGAATATCCTCCTTGAATATGCATCCAAAGACAGCCAATTTCAACAGTTTATTAGTTATACTTGTTAATCCTAACCAATTTTGCATTTATACTGTAAAAATGTCACAATAATTATAGGAATTTATAATATTAGTTTATTATTTATAGAATTAACTCTAAACATCCTATAAAGTCAGACACATACCATTATAAGAAAGGAGCCAATCAGTTGTTCTCACAGTCAGGGCATGTGATAGAACCTACCAATTATACCGAAGAAGAGGTAAGTCCCAGCCAATCATTGTTCTCACAGGCAGTTCATGTGATAGAACCCACCAATTACATTGAAGAAGAGATAAGTCCCAGCCACTCAGTTGCTTTCAGTCAGGTCATGTGATGGTACCCACCAAATTTTCTGAAGAAAAGCTTGAATCAAATTATGACAAACTTAACACTGTTGTTGTGATTGGTGAATATAGACTCGATTTTAACTTTCAAAATATTCTTGTTTGTCATTCCAGAGTTATGGGACTTTTAACAGTTATATTTGACACCATATTTTTATGCTTAAGGGTATCATCATTCATGTTTTTCTACAGAGCCATTTTATTTGCTTCTGATTAGATGCCTTCTTAATATCCATTTTAGTTTACAATTAGGGCATGTCATGTTCTCTTCAGGGTTCTCACAAAGGCGAGTCCATGAGTCCTGGACTCATCAAAACCTGTCTGGACTCATCAATTTCAAAACTTGTGAGTCCAAAGATGCATCAAAATTGTAAAATTAAGAGTCTTAATTCAGCTGTTTATTATACTGTAAATTCAGAATTTTTGCGAGGTTTATATTTATGCGAATAATGCGACTACTTGAGAATCACCATCATAAGAACTAGCATTCTGATATCAAATAAATATATCTGTATGTAGCTTTTCTACAAATCACAATGATAAATACAGGCAATAATTTCTGAATTTACAGTAAACAGTCATAACAATTTGTGTGGTTTCTTCAACAATTACTATGTGTCTTCAACAATTACTATGTTATTTCTTCAACAATTACTATGTTGTTTCTTCAAGGATTACAATATTGTTTAATTTCTTCAACATTTACTATATTGTTTCTTCAACAATTACTTTGTTTTTTCTTCAAATGTACTGTGTCCTTTTCTTTTAAACACATCAACTATGTATAATTTCTAGTAATAAGTAAGATTATATGTGGTTTCTTAGCTTGTAGCAGTTTAAACTAGACTGGTTTCTTCAACCATTAATTAAAACGAAGCAAGTTGTCTTCATCCATTAAACTATGACACTTTTCTTCTGCCTTTTAACTTGATGTGGTTTTGTCAACCATTAACAATGGATTTGTTTCTCTCAACCAATTTATAAAGAACTGATGTAATAATGTTTGCAGTATTTCTTCAACCAATGAAAACAATATTATACAAATATGATGCCATGAAAATACAAATACAGATTTTATGTACAATGTATTGGACAAAACTTGCTAAATTGACATATAGTGAAAAATGAGATTTGTTTATGTATAATTTCAGTGGCAGTATGATCCAACTAAGGACATCATCCCAGTGGTTATACATTGTGTAGTAGAAGATGAAGGTAAGTTATCTAATAATTTAAGTCCTTTCAGTGTATTTCAGTGGTTTTTATTAAAAAGTAGTAGATGTTGGTGTGTCAAATTGTGTCTCCTTACAATGTACTACATTTTGATCTTTGCATGATGAAAATCATATTTTTTTTTGGTTTTTAGTAACTGATTGATAATGAAAAATAAATTTTGTCTTGACACCTGAAATTGTACAAATTGCAAAAGCCAAAAATAAAACTCCATTATAATAATGAAATGGAAGAATTATCTAATTACTGTAAAGTTGGATATTTTTCAGAAGGGATTTATTTTTGCTAATTTTCCAATGAATATAAAATCGCTAAAAAATCTCCTTGTATAAATTATATCTTTTCATCAGATTCAATAGCAAGAAAGACACAAAAAATAACCTCACAAACCAGTTGGGCTTTAGAAATTGAAAATTTAAACTCAGAATTTTTTGTTTTCAAACAATTTGTATCAGATTGCAACCATACTTAGATATATGATCACATATAATGAAGTGGAAGATCCTTTTGATTTTTAGGTCACCATATTCAAGGTCAATGTCAAAGTTACTAAAATTATCTGAAATTTATACACAAAAAATGGTTTCTGGATGCTGAATCAAATATAACACATGGGATTGCTCCATAGTTAAATATATGGTCACATATATTAAAAACAAGATCACTATTGACTTTGAGGTCACTACCTCCAAGGCTGAGGTCAAAGTTACTTAAAATATTTAAAAATTTGTGCAGAAAACTGGTCTCTAGGTCATGGCTTCCAAAACGGTCATATATTCCGGACATTTATAAATTTACCATACATTGTCCGGCTGGGAAAAGCATGAAACGGATATCTACTTTAAGTTTTCAAGGCTTTCTTAAGAGATGGACATTTTAACATAATTCAAAAAAAAATCGGAAGTTTATGCAATCTTTTTGACCCAACCTTTTGTCTGAAACAGCCACACATTTCCGGTCATAAAAGTGACATGATGAATAAGAACTATCAAAATAAACTCTACTTTAATACCTTCTCATTTTATTCAAGGTTAATTAGTTGTCAGACAGCTGAAATTTACCTGTTCAGGTGACAGGTAAACTATTTTGTACCGGACATTAATCGGTCTATTCAAAGTTATTTTCTTACATTTCAGCGGTTTGCATCTAATTAATTTATTCAAAACGATTGAACTTATCAGAAATACATTTATAAATATGATTTGATGAAAAATTTTAAAAGTTTTTAAACGAAAAATCTTCAGAACCACATTGTTTGAACTAGTACACGTGTGCGCCTGTGTAGGTTGGAAATTTAATTATGCATCCTAATTCTTCAAAAATGCTAAAATTATCATTGATACCTTTATCTGACGTTCATTTCGAGTATTTTCTTAAAGAAATAAAGTGGAAAGAGCTACTTAAACTCAATCGTGCTTTTTAAACATACACGGATTTTACATGTCCGTCTCTGGTCGGTGTCAACATCCGGTATTAGGAAAATGTGCTTTTTAAAAACGAAAGTAAAGTTTTTGACAACGTTATTTTGCACAAATAAAGAGCCTAAGGCAGATATTAGTATGCTGACGTTGCACACTTCGAATAATGCACTGTCTGAATTTAACAGTTTACGTCAGAACATCCAATTTATATCAAAGTAAAAGTTTAATATCGTTTTAATGTCAATCATTGGTTACATGATGGCCAACTGATTACCATGATTGCCTTTTGTTACTTAGTCTTAAGGGATTAAAATCAGGATAAGACATAAAATGTCTGGCTGGCTCAAATATTTTTTGGAAGCCCTGCTCTAGATGCTTAGATCAAATGATGTATATGAGATTTGAAATTAATTTGATATATGGTCGCATATAATAGAGGAAATCCCTATTGATTTAAAGTCACAATAGTACTTCTAGAAATAACCAAAAAGAATCATATCTTTTAAAAGAAAATATTTAAAAAAACTATGTTGTTTCAAGCTTTATGGAGGGCGTTAGGTATATGTGCTTGCTCACTAAAGGTTCTAAAATTGTGTTTCAGTTTTTTTACAATTTCTATTAAATGTCATTTACAGAACATCCAAACCATGCCCATCTTACATTTGGTATGGTAGAGAAAAGTTCAGCAGACAGTGGATACATACTGAAGCCATTGAAACAAAAACAGTTTGTTGATGGGTTATCATATCTGCTGCAAGAAATATATGGGATTGAAAACAAGCAGGTTGATAGGTCAAAGGTGAGGAAACAGTCAATTATTTGCCAATTTTTACTCCTATCTCTTTTTTTTAAATTTTGTATGTTGTTAGAAGATCATTGAAACTAAAACTGCAAATTTGATAATGCTTTATTTTGTTCCTCCTGCTAAATGTGTGGGTATATTTATTCATATATTATCTCTCTATCTTCTTAAATACATCAAGCATCAACATTTTTTGTTCAGTCAGTAGTAGTTTTATTATGATGAATTACATATCCTATTTCTGTTTTACTCTTATTGACCCTCTTGATAAAATAAAAGCCTTTAGACTTACAAGAAAAAAAACTTAAACACAAAAATACAGTTCAAGATTTCATCCTTAAAGATTCGTAGATTCATTTGAAATAAGAAACCTAAAGAAGGAAGTATTTTTTTTTCCATTTCAGCTTGATCCAGATGATGAAGTTGATGATAGTGGGGCAGAATGTGTTATATGTATGTCTGACATGAGAGACACATTAATTCTACCATGTCGTCACTTGTGTCTATGTAGTGCTTGTGCAGAGTCACTGCGATACCAAGCCAGTAATTGTCCTATCTGTAGATCTCCATTCAGAGCTTTATTACAGATCAGAGCAATGAGAAGGAAACAGGCTATTCCTGTCCAGGTATAGTCATTAACAATGCAGTATCCATTAAATTGGATAACTATCTTAGTACCAGTTTTATCTATTGTTTGTGGGGCCTCGGTGGCTGAGTGGTCTAAGTAGTTACTACTGTAATCACTAGCCAGTCAACACTGAGGTTGTGAGTTTGAACCCCGCTCTTGCGGGTGCACTCGACTCTAATCTTAATTGATTAGGATTGTCAGTTTTCCTATCGAAGGTCGGTTGTTTTCTCCAGGCGCTCCGGATTCCTCCACCAATAAAAACTGGCTGCCACAAAATGGCCCAAAAGCGGTGGTTGAAAGTGGCGTTAAAACACCAAAAAACAAATCATCTATTGTTTGATACCTTTGATTTGTCTTGGTTTTTTTGAGAAAAAAAACCTTACTAAATTTTAATTTCTGCTGAGATGAAAAAACAACCAAAATAATATTATATATTAAATTTTTTGCTATACAGTAGACTCCACCTAATCGGATATCGGCTAAACGAATATATCAGCTATTGTAATATTGTTTAAAACACCAAACCCTTCCTTATAAGTTTAATGTTAATTTTATTGTATAATCAAATATGGGATAAAAGAATATATTGGCAAATAGGATAAGAATATTCAGGAAATTCTGTTCGAAACCACCCACAATCAGATATTTTCAATGTTTTTCTGACAGGAAATGGACCCGGAAGTTACGCAATTACAATCTTGCAGACAAGAAAATTTTGTTTTTAATTACTAAAAGGAACTATTTCTTAATAAAGTGTTGTCTTTATTCATTGTGTTCCTTTGTAATGCGAATTAGATGCCCTTAAAATACAAATGGTTTGAATTTATTTATAAAATATACGGTAAAAGAAAAATACGTTGGGAGAATTTTGATAAAACTCTTAAGTGCTTACAGAATCCGAAATATAATTTAGACTGAATGTACCTCCTTCTGAATAATTTATTGCAATATAAATATAAATCCCTTTTGCCAAGAGAAATCTGACTTTTGTCAGATATAATTTTGTAACATGTGTAGGTTTGACCACATGTCATAGACGCCATTTTCTTTTGTTTACAAAATGTGAGGAAGCCTCTAGAACCATGACCAAAACATTAACAGTCTTCAGAAAACTTTAACTTGATGCAATAATATTTTATTAATTATGATTATCTTCATTGATATTCAAATAAATTTGATTATTCAAAGAAATAAAATATATAACAAATTCGATTTCAGTTTAAAGACAGACCATGCTATAATCTATTTATAGCCCGATTGGCTTACCTGTGATTTTACCACATACAAATGTAAATATGGATATTACTTCGTATATAAAACAAATAAAAACACATACTATGGATGGTAGATATTTATTCACATAAATATTTCAGGAAATTTGATTTATTTTAATAAATATAGGATTTAAAAACTGAAAAACAAAAATATGAGCATTACATAACCAGCTGATAAAATTTTTACACAAACATAGTAGTGATGAATCTGATGAAAATAACTCGAACCCTTTTATATATATAGCAGTGGTCAGGGCTAGTTACATCTCAGGATTAGGTCAACTCATTATTGCAGAATATTCAATGAATATACATTTATTGTCTAATTGAATATATCGGATAATGGGATATTTTTTGCTGACATTTTTGGTATCGGATTTGCCAGAGTCTACTGTACTAGATTTAATTTTTAAATTTCAAACAAAATAAATCAGTAAAGCTTTGTTTAGACTTAAAAAAAACAACATTAAAGTGAATAACTTTTTGACAGGGAGACAATAATGAAGAGAACCCAGTCAGCCAGGATGGTGTACCTACTGGATATTTTGCAGTGTCATTGATAGAAGCATTGAATGGTCCCTGTAATCAAAATCTGATGGGAGATGGTACGTTCAAGTATCCAACATTTTTTTTGTTTTTTTTTACATCTATTTTGGAGATATAAAGTAGTAGTTATCATTTAAAAATTACCTAAGATAAATTTAATTCAATGCTTGTATTAGGTTTTGAACTTTCAAATGTTTATGCCTCAAGCATCACTGAAGAGACATTTATTGTCGAAATGCACATCTAGTGCATACCTGCTGATTTTCAGAATTTAGGCGTGAACTACATGATCGGTTCTTCAGAATCCTTTATAAATTTTTCATCAGATCCTCGTCTATTTGGATGAAGATTTCCACTCATCAAAACATGGGATTTCAATAATCAGCAATTGAAACTTTGGGGGCATACCTTGTTTTGGAGAATGATTAGTAAACATATATCACTATTAATTTTGATAGCTTGTAAGATAATATGGATCTCCAAATTCACAACAGAATGATATGGAATCATCATGAAAGTGAACAGAAAAATTATTGTTCTTTTATTGAATAAAAAAATACATTTAATTTTGTTATTTGGTTGCATTAAAGTCAAGGAAGTATTTCCAGCCATTTGAAATTAAAGTGATATTGAATCAATGATACTCTCAGCATATACATGTTGATAAATAATAGCAACACGAACTTAAATGTATTTCCAGATTATTATCCATCTGTTAGAATGATTCCATCAAATGAAAAAGATTCACATCACAGAGATAAGAAAAGAAAAAGGTAAGTATCACAATTGTAGATCTCCATACAATGGATATTGCTATTAAGACCGGAATAAAGTTTACTGTACTAGATATATGTGATGCATATAATTATAATGGAGCTGCAGATTTCTTATACTGAAGTTCCTAAGACGTTTGAGACCAGGTAACAGCAGCAGAATTAACTCAAAAGGTCAAGGAGGTTAAGATTTGCCTTAAGAATCCGGATTTCACACACTAAAAACATAATCTTAGCCAAGTTTGTGTTGCCCTTAATTTTCAAAAAAAGTTGCCCTCTGTTGCCATTTGATTTTGAGAATGTGTCTATCAACATATAAAAAAAAAGATGATACGTATATAAAAAATCAAAGTACCAAAGTTTACATTAAATGATTACAAGTACAATAGAATAAATCTGTTAATATCTAATGATTAACACATTTATTGCAGTTAAACATCCTGTCCCTCCTCCTCTGCCAGGGAATCACTAACCTTTTGACCATACTTTGAATATTTATAATACCTACTTAGCATGGAATTTATCTGTTATATATTACTAAGCTTCTGTATTTCAGGACAATAACTTTAACTTGTGTATAAGTATTTTGATTGCTCTGAAATTGTACCACAAGGTTCAATACCACAAGTAGAAGGTTGGGATTCATTTTGGGGGTAATTGCCAAAACGGTTCAGGAATTAGGGGCCAAAAAGGGGCCAAAACAAGCAATTTTCTAGATTTCAGACAATAACTTGTTTAAGTGTATGGCTGTCTCTTAAATTGTACCACATTTTACAAAAAGAAAATTTCTTCAAATATTATTTTTTTTGGAGGGGGAGGGGGGGGGCAATTTTTTGTCTCGCCTTGACGGAGTCAAAAAGCAAGACATAGATATGCTGTTTCCGGCGGCGGCGGTGACGGCGTCAACAATGTATTAGTTTGTGATTAGGTCTAGTTCATGGTGAACCACTAGTGGTAGGTCAATGATATTTGGTATGCAGTTGTATTAGCATTGGCACATCTCATTACCTTGGAGATTATTTGGCCCCGCCCCCTCAGTCAAGGTCTATTGACTTTGAAACTTTTCATAGTTTACATGTATTAGTTTGTGATTAGGTCAATTTATGGGGAACCACTAGTGGTAGGTCAATAATATTTGGTATGCAGTTGTAAAAGCATTGGCATATCTCATTTCCATGGAGATTATTTGGCTAAGCCCCCTTAGTCATGGTCTATAGACTTTAAAAATTTTGCTAAGTTAACATGTATTAGTTTGTGATCAGGTCAGTTCAAGGGGAACCATTAGTGGTAGGCCAATGTTAATTGGTGTTCAGTTGTATAAGCATTAGCACATCTCATTTCCATGGTGAATATTTGGCCCCGCCCCCTCAGTCATGGTCTATTTACTTTGAAACTTTTGCTTAGTTTACATGTATTAGTTTGTGATTAGATCAGTTTAAGATGAACTGCTAATGTTAAGTCAATGATATTTGGTATGCAAATTTATTGGCATTTGCAAGTATCGTTTCCATGGAGATTATATAGCCCCACCCCTGATCATGGTTCATTGACTTTTAAACTTTTACATAGTTTACAAGTTAATGTTTGTGTTTAGGTTTGTTTAAAGGGAACGACTTATAATAAGACAATGTTATTTGGTATGCAGTTGTATTAGCATTGGCACATCTCATTCCATGGAGATTGTTTAGCCATGTACCTTCAGTCATGGTTCATCGACTTTGAATATTTGCATAACTTACATGTTAAAGTATTGCTATTTTAATTTCAATTATCAAAATTACAAAAAGGCGAGACATATCTCTGTGATAACAGTTTATTTCCTCAAGATTTAAGAAATTATCAGTTTTCCCCCCAAAAAATTTGGGGTCACAATTTATTTTGCTCATTCTTCGTATATAGTCTGAAAACAGATTTACTTAGTATTGCGCAACAGCACAGTGTATTGCACAACAGCAAGAAATCTTCAATTGAATATAAATTCAAATCATATAACCAATTTCAAGTTTGACTACATTTATTCTGTGTCAGAAATCTATAATGTGTCTACCGGTAACATTTAATTACAATCCATATTCAGACCTGTATCAAGCTTGAATTGTGTCCATTTTTGCCCCAACTGTTCAGGGTTGAACCTCTGCAGTCGTTTCCAGCTGCGATCGGCGAAGCAGTTTATTCTGTATTTTACTGATAAATTGACTTAGATTTTGGCAGTCAACAGAAAACTTTTACAGCAGCAATAGTAGGCAGAAGACAAGGTTCCAAGCAAACCTTTCCAATTTTGTTTTCTATATTTATATTAGATATATATATATATATATGTGTGTGTACTTTTGTACTATTACAGACAAACATTACAAATAGATTCTGTGAAGGATTCTGTGGTGACAGCCAATATGAAACTCGACGATAAAAAGTTACTTGGAAATGAAGAACTGAAAGGAGGAAAGGAGACAGTAGAAGTGGTTAAAACTAAGGATAAACTTAAACCACATGTACCAAAGATGTAAGTATATAATCCATATACAGGGCCTAATCTAGGATTTTGAAGAGGGAGAAGTGACTTCTCCTTCCAAGAGAGAGAAGGGAGAAGTGGTCAATTTCTTGGAGAAGTGAGATTCCATTACCGTTTCGGTTGCATCGTGTTTTCATGCTTATCACTACGGAAATTGTTTTATATTCAATAAAAGATATACTTGCAGTTTTTTCATATGTTATTGTACACAATGTATATATAGAAAGTTCTTAGTAAAAAGGTTTAGACAATATTTAGTTGTTATTTATTTATTGATACCATTGTGTTCTAAATAAAATTTGTTGATTGGGACATGAGGGAGTAGCCTAGTAATATTATCATGATTATGATGCATTAAATTCATGTGCATCTGCCTCAATTTATTTTTAAAAGTCCAGAAAAAATATAACTCCCAGTTTTCCTGTTGAATTTCACATGACTGGGAATTTAATTTATACATGTATCACCACTTGTCATTATTTTGTAAAACATTATTGAATGTCCAGGACATTATGTTAGTTGTAAATTGAGATTATCGTTAAAGATTGTAAGTCTATAAATGAAAATATTTTTCAATCGCATATTAATTATCCGACAAAGAGCTAATTTCTATCATTTTTTAAAAATATCATCCATATCAACGAAATGGTCGTGAGAAACAATCCACTGCTGATCACAACCTGGTCGAGTGTCGTACGTTTGCCATCACATTACCCATCAGCAGTCTTTCTACCTTTTATATTTCAATTTTATTCAATCAATATAATAAATCTACCGTTATTTCCAACCTTTTACCTACCGAATAGTAAAATTGATCGACTCGTGTAAGTTGTAAAAGTAAAACAAATCAGCTGAGTGATTACGCAACATCCTCAGATGAAAATTATCGTAAAATGATAACTTAAAACAGACAGTCAGTTTTCCATTTGAACAGTTTTGAAAGTTATATCCGAGGATGTTCAAAGACGCCGTTGTATTTATTTAATTTGATCGTTGACAGTATTAGTCCTGGGTCGTTTCAAAAATCTCGATTTTCCTTGTCAGCCGCCATTTTTTTTACCTGTGAGACTTGTCAATCACAAGTTGTCTCCCTTTTACTGATTTTGATAGCGATTTGACTTCGCTATGAAGTCAGTCGGCCGGCGAGATTTAGCGATTTTCAAAATTCTTTGGCGACTTAAATCGTCATTTCGCCGGCAAGATTATGGCCTGCATATAACATGAACACTTTCTTTTGCATTAAAAACTATAGTTTTCATATGAGTGAGAATTGGATATTGCTTGGTATCAACTCGAGTCATTTAATTTCAATAAAATAAAAGACTCTTTTATTTATATTATTGTTATTAAATAAAATGTTTTGATATCAAGGAATTCCCAATTTTCAAGAGTTGTTAAACCCATTTCTCTTATGGTGAAATTTATCTTTGTGTAAAAAAGAAAATTCCACAGGTCATTATTCTTTCCTTTTTGCATCTAAACAGTTTGATCTAAACACCTTCACATATTGAGCTGATTTTTAGTATGTGAGTCAACTATGATGATTTACAGATAAAGTCAACGTTAGCTTCTGTCCCACTGAATTTTGCTGAAATTACAGGCTTTGGACTCTGAAAATATTGTGAAAATAACAGTTATACAGACTTTTAGTATGTGAGTCTACTATGATGAGTTAAAGAATGAGTTTACGTTTGGTTATGCTCTGCTAATATGTGCCAAAATTAAGGGCTTTGGACTTCGATAATTTCGTGAAAATTACAGTTATACGCACTATCATTCTCAAATTTCCACTCCTAAAAGTGGCTTCGATCTTTTTTTGAGAGCGGGGCCATTCGTGTCGTTCAGACACATCTAGTTTTTATACGACCGCAAAAAATTTTGCGGTCGTATATTGGTATGATGTTGGCGTTGTCGTTGTCGTCGTCCGAAGACACATTGGTTTTCGCACTCTAACTTTAGTTTAAGTGAATGGATCTCTATGAAATTTTACCATAAGGTTCAATACCACAAAAGGAAGGTTGGGATTGATTTTGGGGGTTATGGTACCAACAGTTAAGGAATTAGGGGCCAAATATAAGCATTTTTGTAACTTCCAGACATAACTTGTGTGTTAGTGTATGGATCTCTCTGACATTGTACCACAAGGTTCCATATCACAAAGGGAATGCTGGGATTGATTTTGGGGGTAATTGCCTCAAAATTTTAGGAATTAGGGGCAAAAAAAGGGGCAAAGACAAGCATTTTTCCTAGTTTCATGACAATAACTTGTGTGTTAGTGTATGGATCTCTCTGAAATTGTACTGCAAAGTACCATACCACAAATGGAAGGCTGGGACTTTTTTTGGGGGTAATTGCCTCAAAATTTTAGGAATTAGGGGCCAAAAAGGGGTGAAAAAACAAGCATTTTTCTAGTTTCCAGACAATAACTTGTGTGTAAGTGTATGGATCTTTATGAAATTGTACTACAAGGTTCCATATCACAAAGGGAAAGCTGGAATTGAGTTTGGGGGTAATTGCCCAAAACGTTTAGGAATAAGGGGACAAAAATAAGCATTTTTATACGACCGCAAAAAAATTTTGTGGTCGTATATTGGTATGACGTTGGCGTCGTCGGCGTCGTCGTCCGAAGACACATTGGTTTTCGCACTCTAACTTTAGTTTAAGTGAATGGATCTTTTTGAAATTTGACCATTAGATTAAATACCACAAAAGGAAGGTTGGGATTGATTTTGGGGGTTATGGTACCAACAGTTTAGGAATTAGGGGCCAAAATGTGGCCAAAAATATGCATTTTCTAGTTTCCAGACAATAACTGTGGAACGGTGTATGGATCTCTCTGAAATTATACTACAAGTTTCCATACCACAAAGGGATGGTGAGGATTTGCTTTGGGGGGTTATGGCTCAAACCATTTAGGAATTAGGTGCAAAAAAGGGGGAAAAACAAGGTTGTCCTGGTTAATGGACAAATACTTTAGTACAAAACATAATTTAAAGCAGTGTAAGGGAGGTAAATCAAATACATCATTGAAATTATCTCCCTTATACTGCTTTTAAATTATGTATAAAAGTAATGGTTAAGGATGTTCGCTCCTCTTGTTTTTGGATTTTTGCCACATATTCGGAATCCTCTGGTTTTATCCATGTAGTGTCATTAAAAAAATTTCCCCGCTAACCCCTACTTTTCTTTTTATAATTTTATTACTTATAGTTTAAAAAGCCAAATTTGAAAATCCTATAAAATCCTTGTTATTTTTTCATAATTTTTTAAAGTAAAAGGGTACCAATGTTAAATGTAAGAAAAGTCTAGAGAGAATTATTTCCCGCCAAATTTTCAATGGCTTATATCTCTAAAACAAGCACACGGACCCTACATTTTTTTCTGCTTTTTCAGTTCCTTTAATTATATACTATCAATTTATAATAGTCTTTAAAAGCTTGTTATTTTGAAACAGAGTAGCGAACATCCTTAATGAACAATAAAGATAATTTAAAACAGTGTAAGGGAGGTAATCCAAATACAACGTTTTGGTTACTTCCCTTACACTGCTTTTAAATTATGTTTAAAGAAATGCATATTTATAAAGGAGACCAGTAAAAATATCTGCAAATGTTGCATCATTTTTTTTTACAAAAAAAATCCATATGAAAGATTTGAATTGAGATTATGACCATATCTTGAGGGAAAGAAATTTTTGGGGGAAAAAAGGGGGGGGGGGATAAAAAAAAATTGTGGGGGGTCAATTTTTTCTAATTTCAGATTTTAGAAATTAAAAAGAATTATTCTTCAAATACTATTTTTTTTTCAAATTTCAAGAAGTAATCTTTAATTGCACAGTATGGCACATTAGATTTGTAAAATCTTTGATCACATTTATTTATTTGTTATGCCGAATCTAACAGTGTATTTAGATTTTTAATTTTGGGTCCAGTTTTCAAATTGGTCTACATTAAGGTCCAAAGGGTCCAAAATTAAACTTTGTTTGATTTTAGCAAAAATTGAATATATGAGGTTCTTTGATATGCTGAATCTAAACATGTATTTAGATTTTTGATTTTTGGCCCAGTTTTCAAGTTGGTCCAAATTGGGGTCCAAAATTAAACTTTGTTTGATTTCAACAAAAATTGAATATATGGGGTTCTTTGATATGCTGAATCTAACCATGTGTTTAGATTTTTTATTTGTGGACCCCGTTATCAAATTGGTTCATATTGAGGTCAAAAGGGTCCAAAATTAAACTTTGTTTGATTTCATCAAAAATTGAATTATTGGGGTTCTTTGATATTCCAAATCTAACCGTGTATTTAGATTTTTAATTTTGGGTCCTGTTTTTTAAATTGGTCTACATTAAGGTCCAAAGGGTCCAAAATTAAACTTAGTTTGATTTTAACAAAAATTGAATTCTTGGGGTTCTTTGATATGCTGAATCTAAACATGTGTTTAGATTTTTGATTATGGGCCCAGTTTTCAAGTTGGTCCAAGATAGGGTCCAGTATTTAAACTTTGTTTGATTTCAACAAAAATTGAATATATGGGGTTCTTTGATATGCTGAATCTAAACATGTGTTTAGATTTTTGATTATGGGCCCAGTTTTCAAGTTGGTCCAAATTGGGGTCCAAAATTAAACTTTGTTTGATTTCAACAAAAATTGAAGATATGAGGTTCTTTGATATGCTGAATCTAACCATGTATTTAGATTTTTTATTTGTGGGCCCCGCTATCAAATTGGTTCATACTGAGGTCAAAAGGGTCCAAAATTAAACTTTGTTTGATTTCATCAAAAATTGAATTATTGGGGTTCTTTGATATGCCAAATCTAACCGTGTTTTTAGATTTTTAATTTGGGTCCCGTTTTTTAAATTGGTCTTCATTGAGGTCCAAAGGGTCCAAAATTAAACTTAGTTTGATTTTAACAAAAATTGAATTCTTGGGGTTCTTTGATATGCTGAATCTAAACATGTGTTTAGATTTTTGATTATGGGCCCAGTTTTCAAGTTGGTCCAAGTTGGGGTCCAAAATTAAACTTTTTTTGATTTCAACAAAAATTGAATATATGGGGTTCTTTGATATGCTGAATCTAACCATGTATTTTGATTTTAGACATTGGACCATAATAGGTAAATTAAAAAAATTCAAGTTCTTAGACCACATTCTTTCTGTGTCAGAAACCTATGCTGTGTCAAATATTTAATAACAATCCAAATTCAGAGCTGTATCAAGCTTGAATGTTGTGTCCATACTTGCCCCAACTGTTCAGGGTTCGACCTCTGCGGTCGTATCAAGCTGCGCCCCAGCGAAGCATTTTATTCTAGTTTCCAGAGAATAACTTGTGTTCAAGTGTATGGATCTCTCTGAAATTGTACTGCAAGGTACCATACCACAAAGGGAAGGCTGGGATTGATTTTGGGGGTAATTGCCCTAAACGTTTAGGATTCTGGGGCCAAAAAACAAGCATTTTCTAGTTTCCAGACAATAACTTGTGTTCAAGTGTATGGATCTCTCTGAAATTGTACTGCAAGGTACCATTCCACAAAGGGAAGGCTGTGATTGAGTTTGGGGGTGATAAATCATAAGGGGGTTCAAAAAATTGGAGGGGGGGATTTTTTTCCCCCTTTTTTTTGTCTTTAAAATTTTCCATTTTAAATTGGTTATTTCTGATTTATATATATAAGAAAATAATAATGATATGGTTTGAATAGGTAAATTAAAAAATTTTAAGTTCTTAGACCACGTTCATTCTGTGTCAGAAACCTATGCTGTGTCAAATATTTAATCACAATCCAAATTCAGTGCTGTATCAAACTTGAATGTTGTGTCCATACTTGCCCCAACTGTTCAGGGTTCTACCTCTGCGGTCGTATCAAGCTGCGCCATGCAGAGCATTTTATTGATTTATTTTAAAGTGTGTTTATCAGCCTTTTCTTGTTTTCACCATTTACAGGTAGTTCTACATTATCAAAATTGGTGGTATTAATTTTCGAACCTGGTAGTCTCTAAAAAATTCTAGTAATAATTATTTAATCCATATCTTTAATTTTGACTGTTTTTTTTTTAATTTTTGATTAATTATTTTAGTAGAAAAAAGAAGCTAAAAAAATCATTCACCTAGTATATGTATTGGTTAATATGCATATTTTGGATATTTGTTAATGGTTAAAATTTAATCTTTCCTTTTATTTTACATGTATCACAAAATCACACTTGTTGAAAATTTGTGCTTACTTTGGTAGATTCTCAGAAGACCCAGACAGTACAGATGAATCCAAGGTTGTAAATGTCTCCAATGATTACAGTTCTGATACACTTGAGAGCAAGGTATGAAAAATAGAAGAGTCAATATAGTTTGTTATTTAAATGGGGTAAAAATTAGCCCTTATATGAATAAATCGGTCCTTGTATGGATAAATAAGCATGTGTACTGATGACATTGCCAGGCTGATATTAATATGGCTCTTTTTGGTGGGTCTGTAATGGTCCAAGGGTTGTTACCCAATACAAAATTCCAGTTTCAAAATGTTTTTCTCTTTTGATGCATAAAATCATTTTATGGTATTTTGTAACTGTAAATGACACCAGAGAGTTTATACCATGTCCTATGTAGTGTTAAGATTTAAATAAGGAAAAATGCACAGCCTTTCTATGCAAGTTCAAGATGGGCCTTAGCACTGTTTTGGGTCAATTTCTCTGCTTCATGTTGTTAAAACCACATTAAAGAACGCTTCTTCATGGTTATATGTACAAATTTTTAACTATATTTGGCAAAGAAATCTTACAAATTATATTTGATATTGTTATAAATTGCAACTCAATGTACAGAAACAATAAAAAACTTAAGACACACTGGCAGCAAATCATGAGATAGGTTGATGATAATTTGACAGGAAATAATGTATAAATAGGACAAAGAAAGGTACTGTTAATTCAGAAATTTATGCTTGCATTTATTGATTGTTGAACATTGAACAAGAATACACAATTGCTTCTTACATTTTGAGGTAATAATGCACACTGATAATGCTGTCAAAATTTAAAATATTAATTTTGCTCCAGGAATTACAAAATATTTAGGAAAAGTTGAAAGCATGACATGCGAACATCTTCAATATCTTCATGACAATGTTGTACAAACTGTTGCCTAATACTCGTTGTTAGGAGCTACTCACTGCTTCACTCTATCTGAAATTTTTATAATAATTTAAACCACAATGTAGTTACTTAATAGAATAGATAGAAGCAGTTTTGTTGTCCCACTTGTAACAAATAAAAAATGCTAGACATTTGGATGCTGATCATGGTTAATGATCAATGTTAAGTTTTTTTTTTGTCTGGTATGTTTCTCAGATTCTATAAGCTATAGGTCAACTATAGTTGGTGTGTGGAATGATTGTAAGATGTACATGTTAGTCTAGCAGGTTTCATATGACCTTGACCTCATTTTCACGGTTCATTGGTAAAAGCAGTTTTCATAGTTTGGTCTGTTGTTCAAATACTATAGGCATTAGGTAAACTATATTTGGTACTATATTTGGTGTCTGGAATTATTGTAAAGTGTACACCTCCATCTTTCATGATTCCTATGACCTTGACCTCATTTATATGGATCATTGATAATGATTAGTTTAAATGATGCTTGTATTAAACCTTTATCTTGAAGACATTCAATAAAAATTCAATGATGATCAGTCAAGCAGGGAAATCATTGTGGTGTGTGCAGTGTTTTAATAAGTATGATTCAACAAAAAATTGTCATAAAATAGATTAATGCATAAACAAGAAATTGAAAATGAAATCATTGGATTACAAGCAGAGTAACAGCCAAACAAATTTTAAATATTCCACCCCTCCTCAGGAAAAAAAAAATGCACTATACTTATTGAAAATTTATGTCTGTCACAGCTTTTTATGCCTTATCTAGTAATGTACATTATTTCAGGGCACACCAGATGTTACAAAATTAAGAGTATATGATCTGAACGAGTCTGAGGCAGATAGTGATTACGACATGAAAACACACCCTTTAACAGGAACCAGATGTTCCACAGAAGATTTAGCAGATGATGAGAGAGAAGATACATCTGAAGCTGAGCAAGAACCAGAACCTGATTACGATGATGAACCAATAGGTAGTCAAATATACTGAAAAATATAATAAATAGAAAGATACTGTGAACACATAAATGATCAGCAAAAAAAATTCTACAAAAATTATAATACGAATGATACAGTTTCAGGAGAGATAAATTAAATCACTTACACATTAATGAACTTTCAACGTTTTGCTTTTACCTGTTTTGTGTGATGATGATGTCATAATAACGGAATGTTAGCACAGGACTTCATATTTGAAATTTTATGATTGCACAATTTACCAATCAAATATAATTTTGAACCTCATTTTCTTTGAAACAAGCATGGTAACCTATGTTTTATTTTCTGATTTTTCAAAGTACTTTTCTAGATCTACAACATATTTCAAAATCACAAAGTGACATGCTATGTGAAAACTCTGTTGACTCCCCTTGATTAGGATTTTTGATCAATTTTAACATTTTTTATATTTACTTGAAAAGTGTAAACTAATTAAATAAAAGTGATTTATTTTTAAATATTCAGCACTAGAAAAAGAAGTTGAAAAACTCTGTTCTTCCCTTATGAAAATACATCAAGAAAGGTAGAAAATGGCAGAAATAAATTGCACCAAAGTCAGCTAGAAAGGATAAATAGTGAAATAAATTATCCACATGAATAAATTGGTTTAAAGTAATACTATAATTATAGATTATCGTTGGTCATCTCAACGAGATTGATTTTCTCGCTTGAGCCGGTACGGCGAAAGTGAGAAAAGCAATCGAGATGAGATGACCAATGATAATCTGTTTATCGCTATTTTAACTATGAAGATGTTGTTAATTTCATTGACAACAGCACATGCGCCCTTAGTTTCTAGCGATAATTTTTCATATCACTCTACTGTGCTGACAGTGGAAATTATCAGTCAGTAAGATCAAATGAAAATTTCGTAAAATAGCGATAATCTGGCAATACATGATCATTTAAAAGTGATATTATGAAACCATCAGTTGATTACAAATATTTATGGCCCTTAAATGAAGAATTTTGACAAATTTATATGTTATGTCTTTAAAATAACCAAAAATAAATATAAATTATAAGTTACTAGTATGCAGGGATCTAGCTGAGGTTTCATATGGCGAAAAAATACCCTTACTGCAATATTTATGGCGCCATTTTTTTCCCCACATCAAAATTATCATGCTTGACTAAGGGTAATTAAATCAATATAGAGTTGAATACAGTTAAATGATGTTGTCTACAATCAAGTACATGCTTATAATCACAGGTACTGGTTCATATATGTTCATGTATGTATGGTACCTTTGATAATTAAACTCCCACTCCAAAGGAGGAGGGGAGGGTTTATACTGTTTTGCCCCTGTCTGCCAGTCCCTCTCAGCTGTCTGACCAAAACATGCACCAGATCAGTCAGTCAATTGTCTTTTGTCTGAAAAGAGGGGAATACATTGAACTTGGGGCAAATATTTTGAAACCGGTGACAGTATTTTGATCCCAGAGATTTTCTTTGCAACAACTTTAAAAAGGACAGCAGAGTTCCTTTGTAGACAGTAACATCAAGTAAAATTTGATAAAAGATTTGGAGGAAGGGTGGGTTTGAAGATTTAATAGTTTGCCTCCACCAAATGTTATGAAACTTGTATTAAATGCTTATTACCACAAAACACAGGTCAAGTTAAAATTTGGGTGGCATCACTTTTACAGTTCTAAGATTTATGAATTTTTCGTTTCCATTCTCTAACACCAAATGTTATGAAACTTATACACAATGCTTCTAACCACAAAACTCAGATCAAGTTCGGATTTTGGTGACGTCACTTTTACAGTTCTCTAGTTATGTCCCTTTATAACATTATATGCCAAAAGCGAGTGCATCATCTATATCCCATGGACACATTCTCCATTTATTTTCTTTTGGTTGCTTTAGGTAAAAAAGTATTTGGATCTTGGCACTGTAGATCAATTTATTTATTGGCCTCTATTTTTTTAATGCACACAAAAAGCTTTTTTAGATGAAGTGTTTTTTCATAAAATAATTTTGGTTTAAGAAAGGAGACGCAGATAACTGATAATTAGAAGACAAACTGACAAAATGCCATAGTAAAAAGGAAATACAACAGAAAGTCTTTTTAAAAAACAGTTGACAAAAAACACCATTGAAAACTACAGCCAGAGCAACTCAACGTGTAATGTCGGGGTGAACTGGGAGACTAAGCATATCCTGTCCCACATGTGGCACATGTAATGCAGCACATGTATGTACAAATTTGGTGATGAGTTCCTTTCAGTGATATCAGATTTGGGTAGGAATAACAAAATTAGAACACTGTGACGTCATCTGTGAAACAAATATTCAAAAACTGTCAACCAACTTTCAAAAGGATGACTTCAACTTTACTATTCCATGAAGTTGAAGTCCTTCTTTTTCATATATCATCATGATTCTTCTCTGCTGAAACCACTAGGCCAGTTGGAATCAATCTTTGCACAATCTTCATAGGGGTATCTAGTTTAAAAAAATATCTAGTTTAAACAAATATGTCCGATGATCCTGCAAGCCAAATAACATGGCCGACATGGATAAAAAAAGAACTTTGGAAAGATGCATTAACATTAAAAACTGTCAGACAACTTCTTTCAGGAGTTATTGCCCTTCAATGATGAATTTTACCATATTTTGAAAGAAATAATAGATAGAGAGAAACTTCGAGAACAAAAATGATCATCAAGACAAGATCTACTAAAAATACAATTACTGCTGAAATCGTCAGTCAGCTGCTTATGGGAGGTATTGTCCTTTAATGATGATTTTACTTATTTTGCCATTTTTGGTTGATACAGAAAAACTGTAAACAGCAAAAATGATGAGCAAGACAAGACATACAAATAGGTCAAACTAGTGGAAAATGTGAGATGACTACTTATAGAAGTTATTGCCCTTATATTACGATTGTTATCCATTTTTTTTCATTTTGGACAAAAATTTAGAAGATAAAGAGAAACAGTAAGATTAATCAGCAAGATACGATCAACAAGTGGTTATAGTCATAAATTATATTTTAGTTTACAGTTTTGGAGAGTTGTCATTGTTCAAGATGCACATTGAAAGAGGTGAGCTACACAGACTCTTCAGAACCTTGAGTTTTGCCATGGTGTTGCCTGTTTTTATTCCACTTATGGGTTTTGAATTCCTCCTCAGTATCCAGTGTTCTCCCCAGGGCCTTAAAGGACAGCGGGCCCGCGATGTATAATTTTTTACCGTGGTGGTATCGTTCTTACCGCGATGTATTATATTTCTCCGTGGTGCTAAAATTTTTAGTTAAAAAATCGAAAATCGGTAAAGTTTTAAACGACTTGTTAAATCTTTTCCGAGCGGTATAAAATTCCAGGTGAAATTTGACCAGTTCAAACCAGTTCAGATTGTTTACACCACGTGATCGATTTACCTTTATGAGGTTAACCTTTGTTGATTGGATTTAATCGATGTAATTAACACTTGTAAAATGATTCTTTTGTGTTTTAATTAAGAGATCATAACTTTATGATCGTAGATAACTATTTTATGGCTTCACTCACCACCTGACAAGTCGGCAAATACTTTGTACACACGACGGTACACATTTTGTACATTATAAAGTTGGCTCATTACGTATAATTGACCATTATACACTTCTCAATACTTATGTAATAGTATTATAAGTCTCTGATAAAACCATGCCCAAATTATCTTTAATTTTGACATAGTTTATATTGCATGATATTCTGGTTTCAAACTATCATAGTATCTGTCAACAAGTAATTCAAAGGGGACGGATCACATGACCCAGTTAGTTCACATAGAATACCCAAGATTATTTACAATTAACTGCAATCTATTCTATTTTATAAATAAAATGCATGACTGTACCTTCAAACTGGATATCTATATCCATATGATAATTAATGAATAACAGAAGTGATTTGCAAATTGTATCCATAAGCACATGTTAAATCTATGTGTATCTACTTCCTGTCATTTAGGCGGGAAAATAGGGAGACTTAGTTGTTGACATTGAATAGGGTTACTTATAGATCTATAGAACTAGGATAAATTTATAGATTTAGGAATTCTTTTTAAATGGATCATGACAAAAAAAGATTTAGATTTCAGTGCAGTATTAAGTCTGTATCTATGTTTGATTATTACTAAAGACAAGAAAAGTTAATATTTACATGAAATCTAAGGCAAAATGTTTTGAAATTTATGAAAAATTTCTTTTTATTAAAATTTAAGATAGAAACTGGTTCAAATAATAATACAATATTTATTCTTGTTAATTTTATATCTCCTTATGACAGGAATCCTTTCACAATACAACATCTTTCATTCTAGAAATAAGAAAGTTTTTTAAATGAACATTTTTGTTCTCTTTTGAATGATATTTTATTCTTATTGATCATTGATTTTATAAAAGATTTAATAACTTTAAATTTAGATGAATATTTTGTAATGTATCATGTTTTATTTATTTAAAAAAAATATAAAGTATACATGTCAAACTGTTTATTGATTTACTTCTTTTTTACCAATAATTTTCAATGTCTACATAACACATAAAACACATAAAAACTACAGTTACTAGAAATATAGCTAAGTGACGCGACGCGACACAACTGATTGTATGAATCGTTTCACCAAGCAGTCCACACGCGTTACCCTGGTGCTATCCAAAAATCCTGGGGAGAACACTGGTATCTTCCATTTAAAATATTGACTTTTGAATCGAGTGGAGAAATAATAATTACCGGTACTGCTGTAAAGAATTCAGAAAAGATATAATTGTTAAAAGTATAAAACTTCATTTTTTGTAAATTTATTTAAAACAGGTAAAAAAACAGAAACAGATGCAGACAGTGATGGCTATATTCCAACAGACTGTTACCCTGTTGGTTCTTCACCAGAAGAGAAACCAGTCAACAGAATAACTTATGTTAAAGGTCTCAGCAAAAGCGAGGGAGCAGTCAATAAAGACACTCATGGTTATGAGCCAATGAAAGTTAGCAGTGAACTATCCTTACCTGGTACGGGGTCCAGCACAGAGGGATCAAGTTTCAGTAGTAACCACAGCTCTGGTGCCCTGTTACCAGCAGGAACAGTATCTGATGATGACAAATCTTAAGATAGAATTAGGAAATATTAAGTAATTTCTGTGATCTGTGGCCAAGTTGAATCTAAGCTTGGACAACAAAAAAATAAAATGTGATTATTAAAATGATTAAATGGTATATGTTATATGTACATTCATGTATGAACTTTAATTAGTTAATTTCAACTCCTTGAAAGTGGCTGAACATTATCAAACAAAAATTGCACAGATTCTTCTTCTGTATGAAATTGGGTACTTGCTAATTTGATTTGTTACTTGCGTGATGGCTGGTACCATTACCAAAACATAGACTTTGCCAATTTCTAATATTATTTTTGACAACAGATGATATCAAATCTTCCTTGGAAGACTGGAACATTGTGTTATGAAGCAATTAAGTCTTTTATAGCTTTCTTAGTAATACCAAAATATAATTAGTGGATTAAGATCAACACTGGCATCAATCATACTTAGTGTGTGGAAGATGCCCCCCCCCCCCCCCCCCCCCCTGTTACTAATAATTTTAATGTTGCACATTTTTTACCTATGAATGATATGATCTGCTTAGAGCCTTTACTTTGCTGACATTGCAGTATCTAAAAACAGAAAACTTAATTATACATGTCTTATATTAATTATATTAATTATATATGCTCCTTATTTTATACTGTAAATATCTTTAAAAAATTAACATTTGTATTGATGAAAATTGGTATGTAGATTTGGTGCTTTAATCATTGACTGTAAATGATTAGGTTGGACATGCCTGTAAGATATTGACTTCAGGGATTGAATTATGTGATTGATGTGCTGCTATTTGATACTGAGTTGTAAAAGGACCCATTTCTTAACTTTATGGTGGATTTGTCAATAAATCAATAAGTCACTTATCCACAAAAGACCAAAGGACAAGGATGTGCAAACAAATACAGGTCACTTTAAGACCTTCAATAATGAACAAAACCCAAACTGTATAGTATTCTGTAAAAGGTCCCAGGATGATAACATATGAAACAGTTCAAAAGTGAAAACCAACAATCTGATTCATTACAATAAAATGAAAAACAAATATTATGGATAACCTGACTTAGGATTGCAAATAAAGAATTTGGCTGGGTTAAATATGTATGTGAATACTCAACTCTACCTAACCTGGGACAGTTGTAAAACAGTGTAACAATACAACACACCTTTTTGAAAAAGTGCTAGACTCATCAAAAAACTATGATAAATGCACAGAAACTGTAAAAAAATCTGGAAGATCAGATCTACAAATGAGTCAAACACAACAAAAATGGTTAATTGGCTTCTTATGTGATTGTTTGATCCATTTTGCCCTTTAGGCTGTCATCGTGAAAACTAGAGTAGTTCGAGAGAATACAGTACACATAAAACATAGTAAGGGTCAATGTACTTAATTGACTTAAACAATTTGTTTTTAAATGTTCTCCAATTGGATCTGCATTATATCTGGTCACAATCTAACTTAAAGAAAGATGGCTGCCATTGTTTGCTAATAGTTTTAATGTTGTACATGTATGTTGTTGCCAGGTATGGCATTCAGGCTCATTGGACCCAATAGTTTTTTCTTTCAGTTTAAAAATATCATTTATAACATGTAATTTTTTTTTCTATTTTATTGCAACGATTATAAAGTGATGGTGCTGTTGTTTATTTGTATATATGATATTTATCTGTACTTTAATTCATCTTGATTAATAACCCACCCCCCAAAAAAAATTGTATATTGATATGTATAGTTTTTGCATTATTGATTTATGCATGTAGAATGTGATTCTTTATTACTACTGATTATTTTAATAATGATTGAAAAGATATATACACATGTAATTGTGTTCTGAAAAATATAATATACCACTTTTTAAATTTTTAAAGATTTTGTCTTGCCTGTGAGGAATATGGCAGAATACAAGCATATGGATTCAAATCCAGCTGTGGTAATGCCAAGGGCGTGAACCATTTACCGGTATACAAAGCTTTACATTAAGGAGGTAAAAGAACTGAGTAACTCATAACTGGTATTCATATGCCTTAATTTTCTGTTTTGCATTTGTCCATTGTCATTGACCTCATTTTCATGGTTCAGCAACATGACAAGTTGTGAAACAACAGCCTGATTTATGTCAAAATAATAAACTAACAATGGATATAACAGACAGCAACCAATGACAACAACTGAATTACAGGCTCCTTACTTGAGAAGGCATGTACAGAATATGGCAAGGTTAAATACCTATGCTCTCAACCCTCCTGTAACCCAGGACAATATTAAGTTTATATATTGCAGGAATTTTTCAGTGATTATGAGAAATTTGACAATATTATATTTGGTATATACAATGTAGAATCATTGCATTGTATACATTTTCAAAAGACAGCTATTACCTGACCTTGACACCATTTCATGGTTGTTATCACTTTGAGTTTTTTTTTATAAGGTCCATTTCTGAAACCCCATGGGTGACTACGATATGGAAATATTGTCATCTTGGTCTTCTTCGTTTTGACTGACAGTAAAACTCTTGCGAAAGTGGGGTGTCCCTTTTGCTTTACAGATGCATTAAATTTGAAGCCTCTTCCTGTCAGAATGGTGACATTAAATCTGATGCCTTGTGTATGCTCAGCATGTTAAGAACACTTGCAACAACTTTTTGAGGGGTCTGTCGGTGACAACAATCAATCAATCCATTTCTGAGATACTTTAAGCAATAGGTCATATATATTTGGTGTATTGAATGATTTGCTAGGTTTATATGTGCATCTGACCTTGATCTTATTTTCTTGGTTCATTGATCAACATCAGCCAAGTGATTAGGTCAGTTTCTCAGATACAATTAGCAATAAGTAACCTATATTTGGTGTAATAACATAAACAGTACTAATTTTAATTAGAATGATTATATGGTGTACCTGTATGTCTGGCAGGGTTAATCTGACATTGACCTCATTTTCATGGTTCCCTGAAACTGTTAAGTTTATGGTACCTTGATTCTAAAGGGTCAATAATAAAATCAATTACGATCATTTAAGCAGGCAAGACATTTCAGCGTGTGCACTCTTTGTTTCAGTTAGTTGAGCTGCACACAAAAGTTTTAATTTTAGTTGTAAATGATATGTTGATGAAGTTAATCAGGAAATATTTACTGTTTGAAATAGTCAGTAGTTTATTTTTGTAACCAGAGATTCATATATTTGGAAAAAAATTCTTCATTTAAAAAAAAATGATGTGTTTGTGAAATTTTTATTTTTTTCATTTGCAAAATTAATTGTACTTAAAGGTTATTCTATGAAAGAATCTATGGAAGAGTTGAAACTTCCTTTAAAAATACTTTTACAAATATACCTGGCCCCTATGGTAAGCTTTAGATATTACTTGGTCTGGGAACACAGTTATCTTCCTTTGATTTTCAGTCCCTAGTGTTGACAGTGTGTTACTTGCAAATTGATTTCATGCACCTTCTAAAATTGTTCTTCATATATGCATAAATTAAGGAAACAGTGTTTACTGATTTTCAAATCTTGTAAATAGATTAGGAACAGACAAACCAAGGTAACAAACAATAACTAAATAAGTAAGTAGGGGGATGAAGTTACTGGTAAAGAAATTGGGTCATGAATTTAAAAGTAAAGTAGTGATATATGGTCCAGTTGAAAAAAGGTAAACATTGGAAAAATGAGTTTTTCTGAATCTGTCAAGCTGAGATAAAGACCCCCTTAACATAAAATTGTCCATATCTTGATTTAAGGCTAACAGACTCTCAAATCATACTTTCTTGTTTATTTGACCTATTGATACTAATTGTATTGCTTTTTTGTTATTAAATGTTATTCAGGGTTATATCTGGTCTATATACCAGCTTTTATAAGTGTTTGGTATAACTATAAATTTTCACTTCGTACTATGAACATCAAAATTATTTATTTTGTAATAATATTTCCTTTCTCTATTGGTACTGTACACGTATACCTGACAACAAAATTATTTTCATTTACCTGTGTTTAAAGTTATTGCAAATGGATGGTATTTTTGTTCGAGCATATTGTTTTTCTTTAATTGTTTAACATTTCTTACCGATATAACATGTTACTTTTATTATTCTTCCCTTAGTTTATTTATTTTGTATTTACATTGTGTCATAGGTCAAATTTATTTGTTCAGTGTATGTTCAATGGTGTTAATATGTCCTTTGATTGAGTTAAGCTATTTCAGTTGATATTTTATAGTGTGTCTTTCTATGTTGTGATGTTACACTATTGTTTCAGGAAAAAGGGTGAAGGTTTGGTACCATTAAAACATTTAAACCCGCTGCATATGTTTGCACCTGTCCTAAGTCAGGAATCTGATGTTCAGTAGTTGTCGTTTGTTGATGTGGTTCATAAGTGTTTCTCGTTTCTCGTTTTTTATATAGATTAGACCATTGGTTTTCCCGTTTGAATGGTTTTACACTAGTAATTTTTTTGGGGCCCTTTATAGCTTACTGTTCGGTGTGAGCCAAGGCTCTGTGTTGAAGACCGTACTGTGACCTATAATGGTTTACTTTTATAAATTTTTACTTGGATGGAGAGTTGTCTCATTGGCACTCATACTACATCTTCTTATATCTATTTTCTATGATTTTGATATAATTTGTACAAAAAGTAGTACAGTGTAAAAATCTAAAGGAGAAAAAGCAGGTGGGATATTTTTGATACTATAAATTCAGAAATTATTGCAAGGTTTTTATTAATGCGAATAATGCGACTGGGTGAGTATCACAATAATAAGAACTCACATTCTGATAACAGAAACATATACTGTATGCAGATTTTTTCAAAATCGCAATAATTAAACTCGCATTTTTGTCAATTCTTGAAAAATTGCAATAATAAATGCACGTAATAATTTCTGAATTTACAGTACACATATATTTTTTCTAAAAAATACAAAATAACTGTGTTCTCTGGCCACTTGGCATCCATCATACATACAATTTTCCAATTTTCATCTTTTCTGAAACCACTTTCCCAAAGCTTTTATGCCTAATGTATTGAAGGTCTTCTACAAACAATCCTTGTTTGGTTCCAAACGGATAATAAATGTAACCAAAAGAAGCAATGTTATAAAACTCTTTTCCTTTGAACTTGTAGGTTATAAAAGATGCAAAAATAGATTATATGTCCAAAATTGTAAGTTGAATTATTTGGTAGTGTAAAATTGATATCGCTTAAAACAATAAAATTATGTCAGTATTTTGTAAAAATTAAACATTTGTAAATAAGTCCAGAAATCATTCAGTTATGGTAATTTATTGTTATATGCTGTGAAATAATTGTTGTCAATAAAAGCACAAAAAATCTTAATGTTTTAATATCTATCTTAATGCCAATTTCATCATGTCCGGTAAGTTCTATAAGTTCATACATTTTCCAAATTTATTATTAAAACATTTGAAAACACAAAGTTATGGGTATGTAGAAGTAGCTCAAGTGAGTTTTTCTCATCACTTTGGGACCTTTGTCGTCTGTTAAACTGTTAAATTTTACGAGAATCTTCTCTGAAGAAACTATTGGGCCAAATTTAACAAAAAAATCATCATTGGGGTATCTAGTTAAAAAAATTTGTCCAAGGACTCAGCCTGCCAACCAAGATGATTAAACATAGAACATGGGGGTCAAATGCAAGTTTTGCCTATTATTTTGAAAACTGCTATAAATAGAGAAATTCTGAGAGGAGCTTCAATGTTCAGAATGTTGAGCTCTACCAATTATCGCTATACTTCATAACAGTCAGATGACTTCTTATAGGAGTTATTGCCCTTAAATGACAAGTTTTACAATTTTTTAAAATTTGTTCTTTTTATCGAAAAAATTATAATACTGTAAATTCAGAAATTATTGCGAGGTTTTTATTAATGCGAATAATGCGACTGGGTCAGTATCGCAATAATAAGAACTCGCATTATAATATCTGATGCATATATATGTATGCAGATTTTTCTGAAATCGCAATAATTAATCTCGCATTGGTGTTCATTCTTAAAAAAATCGCAATAATAAATGCACGCAATAATTTCTGAATTTACAGTAGTTAGACAAACTTTAAATAGCAATTTGATCAGCAAGACAAGATTACAAATAAGTTAAACATGACCAAAGTCGTCTTCATATTAGAGTTATTGCCCTTTAATGATGATTTTTACCATTTTTCTGTGTTTTTGCCTAAAATCTGAAAAAACAATAATAGATGGATTGAAACAGTAAAAAGCAAAATTGATCAACAAGACAAGATGTACAAACAGGTCAACATGACCAAAATTGTTAGTCGTCTCCTTATTGGAGTTATTACCCTTTAATAACAATTTTCCCATTTTTGCCTATTATATTGAAAACTGTAATAAATAGATAGAAACTTTTAATAGCACAAATGACGAGATCTACAAATGAGCCATATGGTCGAAATCTCGTTTTGGAGTTATTATTGCCTTTTAAATATAATTTTTTACATTTCTTTTTTTGCATTTTTTGCCTATTATCTTGAAAACTATAAAAGATACATAGAAACTTTAAAAAAGTAAAATTATCAGCAGGATAATATCCACAAATATATATGTCAACATTACTGAGATTGTCAGTGAACTGTTAATAGAGTTGTTCCCCGTTAATGCTGAATTTTACTAAAAAGTGGTCATTGTTGAAGATGCAGGTGTGCGACACATGCTCTTTAGAACCTCTAGTTAATAACACTTCAACATAGTTATTACTCAATATGAAGATTTGCATAAAGCAAATTATAGATATAGTTACAGTGGAATTCCTTGTGTCTACCGATATTGCGCATTACCTGAATTGGTCATAACTGCAATGTAACATAAATATAATTTTTCTACAGTCTTCCAAAGGGACAGCAAATGTTAGAATTGAAAAGTTCAAGCATTTCTTAATTGCATTCAATTGAATAAATTATGGTAATTTCACTTCGTAAATCATAATTTTATTTACTCAATCTTCTTAAAATGCAGATCACATGTCAACGCTTTGCTTGCAAGGTTTGTTAGCAAATTTTTCTCTGCTCAACCGTCTCTATAAGTTTTTGAGCACTCTCTTCATTAATGACGAGAGACTAGTGTACATTTAACATTAAATTTTGATAATTTACGAGTTTTTGAAGACTTCACGTGCATCAGAAATTAGGGATATATCTCGTGGTTAGACAAGGTCATGATTATCAAGTTCACGAAAAGTATGAAACATTCTTAGTGGTCACACATATAACGTTGTCATTAATTTTTAATAAAGTTTTTTTCTTGTGTGAATAAAAAGATGTGTAGGCTATGCCTCTGTTCACAATGTCAATATAGGACTTTTTCGTTTCTAATTTCTACGGAGCACAACTCCGACAAACGATCTTTTTGGAAAAATGTCCTTAAAAAGTTTCGTAGAATCGAAGCAACACTATTTTCTTACATTTTAAAAAAAGAAGAAAAGATATAAAGCCATTTCATTTTGCCATTACTAAATTGGTACCACTTGTGAAACACTTCGTCTTCAACTGAAGTTGTGCTATTGGTGTATCAGATATACCTTTTTATTTTCATCTGGGTGTGTATGCGAAATGAAATGTGAATGATTCTAAAACTTTTTAGAATGTTTCTACAATCAGCTGGTCCTCATTTTACTTAAAAGGTAACATCTTTTTAATCAAGAAGTGGGAGTTAAATCTGATAAGAACTGAAACTAGCAGTTCTTACAATCGTTTTGAATATGTGGTGTTAATACAAATGACACGTTAAGTTTTCAATGTTTTCACTTTGGGACCACGGAACTGAATTGTATAAACCCTTGTTTGAGGGTCAGCTCTTTTAACCTATATTCCTGCAAAGTCACGTGTACATAGCATACTGGCGGAATGTCATTTAAATTTTCGTTTCAATGGTTCGATGTTAAGAAGAAAAGTATTAACTTGTATGTATTTAACTGCACAATTACCCTTTTTACTGTTACTATACTTTGGTTATTCCCATTACCAAATTTTCTTTGGGTGAAAAATTAAAAAAACTTTGGTTGCGTTTGAACAAGGATTTTTATAGTAAGACTATACAAATCCTTGGTTTGAATAAAAAAAGAAAAACAAGATTTAAATTTTATACATTTATATAAACAAAGTTCGCGAAAAATTGATACTACAAAAGCAAGATTTGACAACAGTGGACTTAAATATTGTGAACTTGTGTATACATGTATCCATAGAGAACGTAATTTCGTTTTAATATCAGATTGAGTACGTCCAAACCAAAGGTAGGTTTTTCTTCCTATATAAATATCAATTGATCATAAAATCAATACGAATAGTATAACTTCAATAAGGGAAAATGCAGAGTGGATCTGTCTAGTGTGCAAAACGGACGTTCACATTGCGGCAATTCGTTTTTGATGGGTACCAAAAATGCGTCGGACTTTAACATGCACACAAAAGCACAAATTAGATTTGCAGAAGCTGCCCTTGAAAATAATATATATAATCTGTATGCAATATTGTACAAATGAATTGTTTACGAATACAAGCTTTTAAGTTGTTTTAGACACAAATATTATTGTAACGTTCGTAATTAATCGGTCCCAAACCCAACCTAGCATCCCGGCAGTAATCGTATTCATAATCGTAGCTAATGTCTTAGATATTTTCTTCCTTAATGAAAAAGTAGTAACAGAAATACCGAACTCCAAGGTAAATTCAATAAACAGCTGCGCCATGAGCGCATGACACGTCCGTCACTTTTTTCAATAGATATAAACCATTCACCAAAGTTTCATGAAAACTGCTCAAAGCATTTTTGAGTTATTGTCCGAAAACTGGAAAATCCCCCTTTTTTATACGACCGCAAAAAATTTTTGCGGTCGTATATTGGTATGACGTTGGCGTCGTCGTCGTCGTCGTCGTCGTCGTCGTCTGGCGTCGTCCGGCGTCGTCCGAAGACACATTAGTTTTCGCACTCTAGCTTTAGTTTAAGTGAATGGATCTCTATGAAATTTTACCATAAGGTTCAATACCACAAAAGGAAGGTTGGGATTGATTTTTGGGGTTATGGTACCAAAAGTTAAGGAATTAAGGGCCAAAAAGGGGCCAAAAATAAGCATTTTTGTAACTTCCAGACATAACTTGTGTGTTAGTGTATGGATCTCTCTGACATTGTACCACAAGGTTCCATATCACACGGGGAATGCTGGGATTAATTTTGGGGGTAATTGCCTCAAAATATTAGGAATTAGGGGCCAAAAAAGGGGCAAAAAACAAGCATTTTTTTAGTTTCATGACAATAACTTGTGTGTAAGTGTATGGATCTTTCTGAAATTGTACTACAAGGTTCCATATCACAAAGGGAAAGCTGGAATTGAGTTTGGGGGTAATTGCTTAAAACGTTTAGGAATTAAGGGCCAAAAAGGGGCCAAAAATAAGCATTTTTCTAGTTTCCAGACAATAACTTGTGTTCAAGTGTATGGATCTCTCTGAAATTGTACCACAAGGTTCCATATCACACAGGGAATGGTGGGATTGATTTTGGGGGTAATTGCCTTAAAATATTAGGAATTAGGGGCCCAAAAAGGGGAAAAAAAACAAGCATTTTTCTAGTTTCAAGATAATAACTTGTGTGTAAGTGTATGGATCTTTCTGAAATTGTACTACAAGGTTCCATATCACAAAGGGAAAGCTGGAATTGAGTTTGGGGGTAATTGCCCAAAACGTTTAGGAATAAGGGGCCAAAAATAAGCATTTTTCTAGTTTCCAGACAATAACTTGTGTTCAAGTGTATGGATCTCTCTGAAATTGTACTGCAAGGTACCATACCACAAAGGGAAGGCTGGGATTGAGTTTGGGGGTGATGAATCATAAGGGGGTTCAAAAAATTTGGGGGGGGAGGGATTTTTTTTTTTTCCTTTTTTTTTTCTTTTAAAATTTTCCATTTTAAATTGGTTATTTCTGTTTTATATTTAAAAGCAAATAATAATGATATGGTAGGAGATACACACCAAACAGGATGTGTAAATTATTATAAAATAAGTATTGTGCAATAGCAAGAAATTTTCAATTGCACAGTATTGCACAATAGCAAGAAATCTTCAATTGCACAGTATTGCGCAATAGCAAGAAATCTTCAATTGCACAGTATTGTGCAATAGCAAGAAATATCCAATAGCACAATATTGCGCAATAGCAAGAAATTGTCAATTGTACAGTATTGCGCAATAGCAAGAAATATTCAATTGCACAGTATTGTGCAAAAGAAGATACTTCGTATAAATTGCTTATTTCTTGACCAATTTCAATGGGGTTTTATTCTTGAATTCTTGGGGTTCTTTAATAT